AAGCCCATTCAAACTCTCTTCATCACAGGGTATGAGAAGTGACAAACAAAACACAGGTATGAACCAAAACGTATGTTGAACATGATCAAACTTAAAAGGCAAACAAACTAGAAAAAAAGTAGACGTGCCACATACCTGACGTTCAAAGACAGCCTTGATCAAAATATGCAAAAATGAAAATTCCAAAAGGAAAAAGATATATACATAGTCGATTAACATAAAAAAGTCTGTTGCAAAGAAAAGCAAATTAAAATGGCAGGTCCCCCTGGCCAACAGCTATCAATTGGGAGAAAATCAGAATGATAAAGCCCACTGTTGGTGCAAACATTGAAGATGGCCTCTCCTGCCCTCTGCTGGTGGGAATTTAAACTACAGTTGCATGGTAAGTGGAGCTTGTTGGAAAATATCGATCCAAAGTCTTTAAAATGTTCATACCGGCCAGGCGCGGTGGCTCACGCCTATAATCCCAGCACTTTGGGAGCCCGAGGCGGGTGGATCACGAGGTCAAGAGATCGAGACAATCCTGATCAACAAGGTGAAACCCCGTCTCTACTAAAAATACAAAAATTAGCTGGGCATGGTGGCACGTGCCTGTAATCCCAGCTACTCAGGAGGCTGAGGCAGGAGAATTGCTTGAACCCAGGAGGCAGAGGTTGCGGTTAGCCGAGATCATGCCTTTGCACCCCAGTCTAGGTAACAACAACGAAACTCTGTCTCAAAAAATAAAAAATTTTTTTAATTTAAAATGTTCATATCTTTTGACTCAGTGATTCCACTGCTGTAGCTTTTATCAGTGGAATGATTACAGCTATGTAGAAAGAGGCACACATTTCATTGTGTTCTTATACAATAAATGGAAGAACTTTTTAAGACTAGCTTTCTTATTGGAATGAAGAACAGTATCCCAAATTATAGATATTAACATTTACTGAGCACTTTCCATATGCCAGGTGCTTTTCTAAGAGCTTTCCCTGTATTCTCATTCCTGGAGGGGTCACAGAATACCTGGGGACCAAGGGTCAGTGACACAGCACGATGAGAGAACAGGGTAGTATTGCTCTGGCCTCAGAGTTGCAAGTAACAAAACATTCAAAATTAATTTGGAAAAAAAAGGGAAAACGTAACAATCTGTAAAGTCTCAGCAATGGATAATAACAGCTAAGATTTATCAAGAGTTTTCTGTGGGCTGCTCTAAGGAATTTACATGTATTAATACTTTTAATCTTTACCCAATCCTGTGAGGTGGGTATTAATTACTCTTGACCCCATTTTGCAACTGAGGAAACTAAGGCAAAACTGAGGGATAAGACCCTTGCTGAAAGTTGAATGAGCCAGTAATGGCAGAACGGGCACTGCCAGCCAGGCAGGCAGTTAGCTCCAGAGCGCAGTGCCTTAATAGGGTCAACTAAGGGTTGGCTAGATCTGGAAGGTGGCACAGTGCTACCAAGACTTCTTCGCTTGCCTCTCAGCGCTTCCTTCCCACGTGGGCTCCCGTTTCCAGAATAGCAGCCCCAAGCCCAAACTGACGTCAGAGCTCACTCTGTCAAAGCATCGGTGAACATCTTCCCAGCCTAAGACCTGGAGAATGAGAGGCCTGTTTCGGGTCTTGTGCCCTTCCCTAGCACAGGGTCAGTCTCTGGGAAGCAAGCAGAGCCGCTATACAAAGCAACAGTGGTTTCTCAGAGGAAGGGTGGTAGCAGACACGTGTATGTCTGTACTGAAGGACAGCTAGCTGTGCTCAAGGATCAAAGCAAGCACAGGAAATGGAGTTCCTGCTGTGTTCAGTTTGCAAGGCACTGAGGGATACTAAGACGTGGTTGTTTGCCCCAATCCACTGGGGGAAACACAGGCAAAATGAAAATAGCTATAAAGCTTGGTGATTTTTTTTTTTTGAGATGGACTCTTGCCCAGGCTGGAGTGCAATGGCATGATCTCCGCTCACCACAGCCTCTGTCTCCTGGGTTCAAGCAATTTTCCTGCCTCAGCCTCCAGAGTAGCTGGGATTACAGGCGCATGCCACCATGCCTGGCTAATTTTTTGCTTTTAGTAGAGATGGGGTTTCACCATGTTGGGTAGGCTCATCTTGAACTCCTGACCTTATGATCCACCCACCTCAGTCTCCCAAAGTGCTGGGATTACAGGTGTGAGCCATCGCGCCCAGCCAAACTTGGTAATTCTTGGAAGAGAGACATGAACCCAGGGAGAAGGGAATACTGATCAAGGGGTGAACAAGTGCCAGATCTTGAAGGCCTGGCAAGCCAAATTAAGGAGTAGTGACTCATAACTACCACTGTTTGAAGGCAAACTCTATATGCCAGGCACTAAGTTAACAATCTGATACAACTCTCTTCACTCTAACACCCGATGTTTCACAGGCGAGTAAACTGATACTTAGAACAATAAAATAACTTGCCCAAGGACTCACAGCAATGGTGGCAGAAACACCTTGGATTTATCCACGTTGCTAAGGGGAGGCCAGTGAAGGTCACAATGAAATTCATTTGTTCCCCACAAGTAATCTACATTGAAAATTTCTTAATTGGTAGCAAGTCTGGCATCACATATCTATCTATAATTAGGGTGCCACAGGACACACATTGAAGGGTTTTTCTTTTTTTTGAGGTGGAGTTTCACTCTTGTTGCCCAGGCTGGAGTACAATGGGGAGGTCTTGGCTCACTGTAACCTCCACCTCCTGGCTTCTAGTGATTTTCCTGCTTCAGCCTCCCAGGCAGCTGGGATTACAAGCGCCCACCACCATGTCCAGTTAATTTTTTTTTTTGTTTTTATTTTTAGTAGAGATGGGGTTTCACCATGTTGGCTAGGCTGTCTCGAACTCCTGATCTCCCACCTGCCTCAGCCTCTCAAAGTGCTGAGGTTACAGGCATGAGCCTCCGAACCCTGCCAAAGGGCTTCTTTAATGGACCTCAGAAATGAAGATATGGTCATTAAGTACTGGAATTTTTCCAACCTGCTTTTAAGTACCATCAATATGGTGTGCAAGTAGTGCCATTCAAAATATCAGAGGAAAAAAAAAATGCTGGAAGGATTTCAGATCCAATTTAAAAGGCTCTGAAACCACAAAAGGCGAAACTTCATCTGACCTGAACATGCCACGCCTGGGAACCTGGGACAACTGTGATGTCTTGGGAGTATTCGGTTCCCAGGGAGACCCTGAACTCACCCTTTTTCGAGGAGACAATCAACAGAAGATTGTATTTGATGGGACAAATTCAATTCCTGTTAACAAGGGTTCTAACCCTGTTCAAGAGGGAGAAGATGGGAAGGCAAAGACTCCAGTTGGTTTTGAAGAAATGAATCCAGCTCTTTAGGAGTCGTGAAAGAAGAAGAAAAAAAAGGAAAAAGGAAAAAGGAGGTATTGTTTAGAAAGGCCAGATGATCTACCCAGCTGTTAAATCCTGTGCTCTGAAGGGTGAAGAAAGGCTGAAGAAATGATAAATTAGTAGAAATGTGGCACTCTTTTCCTTCTTTGTTTCTTTTTCTTTTTTTGAGACGGACACTTGCTTTGTTGCCCAGGCTGGAGTGCAGTGGCCCGATCTCGGCTCACTGCAACCTCCACCTCCCAGGTTCAAGCGATTCTCTTGCCTCAGCCTCCCAAGTAGCTGGGACTACAGGCGTTCACCACCATGCCCAGCTGATTTTTGTATTTTTAGTAGAGACGGGATTTCGCCATGTTGGCTAGGCTGGTCTTGAACGCTTGACCTTGTGATCCGACCGCCTCGGTCTCCCAAAGTGCTGGGATTATAGGCGTGAGCAACCACGCCCGGCCGGCACTCTTTTCTTCTTCTTCTTCTTCTTTTTTATTACATTCCTCTTACAAATACCCCAACACACAGAAGATATTAAACAGTGCCTACTAATTCAAATTTTACTTCCTATGCAGCTCTCTGGCTCTCCTCCGCCCCTGCATTCAACCCACCTGAAGTCACTCTACCTGTTCTCCTACACTCCGGCAGAATAAACTGCCCTTTATTCGGTACTTCCTTAGCCCCATGTACAGTGTTTCTATTGTGGCACTGTACTGAAGCTGCTTCCTCTACCAGATTCTTACGTCTGTCCTCCCCATTTTATCACACGCAGTTGCTCAGAAAATGTTGGCTGCATTGATGCTTTCATAAATTTATAAATACTGAGTGACCTTGTAGTATACCTCACGTGCAAGGCCAATGTCTTACTCAACTTTACCTCCACTGCTAGCATGGTGCCTAACAGCACCTAGAAAATAGTAGATGCTCAGTAAACGTCTGCGTGGCTGAGCCCACCAAGTGGGAAAGGTTCGGAGAGTACTATGCGGGATTACTGACGGAGAAAACGTTGTGAACTCGTAACACACGGTTTGTGGGCGTGAGCAGTATGGAAAATGGCAGTTCGCTAGGAAAGCAGTTTCCTCGTTTCAGACTGAGACGATTTTTCACAAGTGGGGAGGAGGAGGAGGAGGAGGCGCACAGGAACCACCACATACAGGCGCTTCTCACCGAAACGCACAACAAATCTAGAGCCAAGTGTAATAAGGAGACGGGGCCCAAGAAGTTAATTTAATGCCCCGGGGCCCCCAAGTGGTCTGCCAGTCTCTAGCATCCTGTCAAGCAGACCCTTCTCTTCTCAAGTCGTGCTGGGCGACTCGTGAAAAGCAAAAGTAGGAAAAAAACTGGGGGCTGAGAGGGGAGGCCTGGACAGAGGGTAACTCTCCGGCTCTGGCACCCGGGAGCCTGCGAAAGCTTCGGAAACGCAGCGTCTCACGGTCGCGCATCCCGGCCCGGCACGCACCTAGTGGCAGCGGTAATCCTGGTCCTCCTGGGCTTCCGTAGATCGGGATAAACTTGGAACCTTTCGACTCGGAAAACTCAGTGTTTTAGATTCAAATTACACTTGCTGGTTTAAGAGCGGAATCCACGACGCGGACTCCACCCTAATTGCTCGCTAACTAAAACCTTAAAGACAACACAGTCTCCAACCCCAACGCCAGGAAGCCCAGCTCCGAGGCCGACTCCGGAAGTCCTTGTCGGACGTCACTTCCGTCGCATTTCAGGGCGGTACCAAGATGGACGCTTCGCAGGCCCGGCAGCAGCTTCGGCGGCGATTCCTGCTCCTGCCGGACGCCGAGGCCCAGCTGGACCGCGAGGGTGAGGCCAGGCCGGGTGAGGCGCGCACCAAGCCGCCCTGAAGTTCTCAGAGGCGAGGCGCCGGAAAGCGACCGGCATCTCGCAGCCGCGGCCCAGTCTGGAGGGACCGAGTTTCGGCTTTGCAAGTCGATTATTTAAATGTCAGGAAAGATCCTTAGAATCGCGTAGTGCTGTGCATTTTCATCTCAGCTGCGCTTCAGAATTCTGTGAAGAGCTGATTTGACACCTGTTTGGAAATATCGATTAAAATTAAAAATACCCGCCGCTTCTAAGTTTTAAGAATTTGCCAGAAACGAGGAGGTGGGAGGCGAAAAAAAAAGAATTTACCTGAAACATGCCTGTACCGCAGTGTACAAAGATGTGCGCAGTGCGAATGGCTAGAAATAGCCATCTTGCCAGTCAGCAGAAAGCTGGTTAAGTAAATTTGGATAAATCTATACAAGACCGATTTTTATGTACCAGTGGGGATGATTTTCAAAGGGAGGTGCAGAACAGTATATCATACGCCGCCATTTGGGTACAAGAAGGTAACCTGTGATGTATGTTCACCTGGAGATGTATAGCATATGAAGAATTCAGTAGCAATTGTAAGTGGTGGTTGCTCCTAGGCATTAGATCTGAGGTTAAGATTGGGAGACAGATATTTCATTTTGGATATTTTTATCCCTAATGTTTAAAAACCATGTCCATTTATTACCTTTTCAAAATAAACATGAATAACATCATATCCAGGCATGATAATATATATGTTTTGAGGATATTCCAGAATATTATGAACATGCTCCCCAGGGTTTCTGATGGTCATCTAAAGGTCCAAAACCTCATATATAGACCAGTGATTCACACATGAGCATAGAGAGAGGGCATGTCAGAATCCCCAGAAAACTTTCTAGTAATCACCCAAATAACCCATCTGACCCAACCCCCATCCACCCATTCTTTTTTTTTTTTTTTTTTTTTTTTTTTAAAAGAGACAGGGTTTCGCCATGTTGGCCAGGATGGTTTCAAACCCCGACCTCAGGTGATCCATCCGCTTTGGCTTCCCGAAGTGCTGGGATTATAGGTGTGAGCCACGGTTCCTGGCTTCATCCACCCATTCTTTCCTCATTCACCAGTTCTTTCAGACTGGGTTGCAGACGGGGAAAAATGACTTGTCCATCACCTGTCTAGATAGTGCTGTGCTAGAACTAGAGCTCTGTTTAGCCGTTTCCACTTTTGAGCTGTATTTAAAGTAATTAAAATATTTACTTATAGGCTGGGCATGGTGTCTCAACGCCTATAATCCCAGCACTTTGGGAGGCCGAGGCGGATGGATCACGAGGTCAGGAGTTCCAGACCAGCCTAGCTAACATGGTGGAACTCCGTCTGTACTGAAAGTACAAAAATTAGCCGGGCGTGGTGGTGGGCGTCTGTAATTCCAGCTACTTGGGAGGCTGAGGCAGGAGAATTGCTTGAACCCGGGAGGCGGAGGTTGCAGTGAGCTGAGATTGCGCCATTGCACCCCAGCCTGGGTGACAGAGCGAGACTCCGACTCAAAAAGAAAATTAATTATAAAATTGTTCTTGGAAGATGACAAGTCCATTTCATGCGCTAACATTTGCCTTTGGTGTTTTTCCTAATTAACAAGACTAATTACTTTCCTAGAAGAAATGTGAAACATTACAATTATTACATTTCCAGGTGGCATTATTTCAGAAAGACTATGAAAATGTAAATTTGATTTCAAAATATATTTAGAGAAAATAAATTGGCTGTATTGACTATATATATATATATATATATTTTTTTTTTTTTTAATGGAGTTTTGCTCTTGTTACCCAGGCTGGAGTGCAATGGTGCGATCTTGGCTCACTGCAACCTCTGCCTCCTGGGTTCAGGCAATTCTCCTGCCTCAGCCTCCTGAGTAGCTGGGATTACAGGCATGCGCCACCATGCCCAGCTAATTTTTTGTATTTTTAGTAGAGATGGGGTTTCACCATGTTGACCAGGATGTCTCAATCTCTTGACCTCGTGATCCACCCATCTCGGCCTCCCAAAGTGCTGGCATTACAGGTGTGAGCCACCGCTCCTGGCCTGTATTGACTATATTTTATAGTGGGTTCTGATTAATTATTTTTTGTAAATATAAACTTATCTGAAGGGTTTTACAGAGGATTTTTATAATGGAAGAGACTCTGGTTCTTAGCTCTAGGAAGTGATTTTATTTGACTTAAATTAAGTGTAGTTTTTCTTCACAAAATTATGGTAACTTAATAAGTTGAAATCTCCCTTATTTGCAGAAACCTCTACAGCTGTTGAGAAAAAGGAGAGACCTCTTCCAAGACTTAATATCCATTCTGGATTCTGGATTTTGGCATCCATCATTGTGACCTATTATGCTGACTTCTTTAAAACCCTTAAAGAAAGCTTTCACACTAGCAGGTAAGAAAACTTCATTGCTTCATAAACTAAACATGTGTATGATTTTTTGTTTCATGTTTTGTCAGTTGAATTCTTCAAACAGTAAGCACCTGCTCTCTGCCAGGTCCTGTGTTGGAGGTGCTGGTGATACAAAGATGAATATGAGATGGGGGTCAAAGGGTACATATTTTTGTTATAAGATGAATAAGGTCCGGGGATCTAATGTCCATAAGTATAGTGACTATAGTTAATGCTGTATTGTATACTTGAAATTTTCTATGAGTATGTCGTGTTTCCTACCCCTGTTGCCCCACCAGTGGTAACTATGTGAGGTTACTCACACTATGAGTGTGATAATTAACTTGATTGTAGTAATCATTTCACAGTGTATATATATATCAAGTCATCACATTGTACACCTTCAATATATACAATTTTAATTTGTCAATTATACCTCAGTAAAGCTGGAAAAAATAAAACCAATGAGAGGGTTTGTGCTCTGGGTATGCATAGTAGAGTTGAAGAGAAGTGAAAATTATTTGTGTGTAAATAAATATGTTGTAGGATGAGGAAGGTAATCAATCTAAGAAAGACCTAATCCATTTAAGGGAAAAAAATGGGAGAATGCCTGAAGGTCTTCATGAAGACCAAGTATAAGAGTACAGGGAAGGGCTGGGTGTGGTGGCTCATGCTTGTAATCCCAGCGCTTTGGGAGGCCAAGGTGGGCAGATCACGAAGTCAGGAGTTCAAGACCAGGCTGACCAACATGGTGAAACTCCATCTCTACTAAAAATACAAAAATTAGCCAGGCATGGTGGCACACGCCTGTAATCCCAGCTACTCAGGAGGCTGAGGCAGGAGAATTGCTTGAACCCGGGAGGCAGATGTTGTAGTGAGCCAGGATTGCACCATTGCACTCCAGCCTGGGCGACAGAGCGAGAATCCTTCTCAAAAAAGAGTACTGAGAAGAGTACTCTCTCAAAAAAAGAGTACTGTGGCCGGTGAGAATCAGGTCTCAGGGTTGGTTTCAGAGGGTAGTTAGAGCTGACAAGGTAACTAGAGGGTGTGACTGCAGTAGAGTGGAGGGGAAGGCCAGCAGTGGAAGGAGAGAGCCTTGTGGCCAGGCCAGATGTCCAATAGTTCCTCATTCACAGGGACTGAGATCCTTCAGTATAGTCTCCAGAGTTGTCATGTAGGAGAAGGTTGGAATCATATCCTAGCATCCTTACTGCACATTGGAGAGTGATGTGGAGACCCTCAGATAATGGAAGGGAGAGGGATGTTGGTGAGCATCAGAGCTGGCACTGGGAGGGCTGGTGTGTTTAGGGTCAAGAGTAATACTTTGGAAGTACCAGTGGGGCTAGGAAGATGCAGACAGGACTGTGGTCCCCTGGTATCATGGCAGGACACATGATTTCTCTTCAAGGGCCTTGAGGAGGAGCAGTGACTTCTGGGAGACTGTCAAGCCAGAGGGAACAAGCCTTCAGGGGAAAGTAGGCAGAGGGGAGTTTATTTAAACTGTCGGCCAAGAAACGTTCACTAAACACTCCCATCTTCTGCCTTTCCAAGTCACTCCTTTGTGGGATGTGGCGTGAGTGTGTGATGAAGAAGTGGACGAAGGTAGCTCAGCACCTTCTTCTGCACGTCGGATGCCGATAGGAAGCCCAGAGTCTGGTCTGCCTTCCCATGATGTCATTTCACAGGGGCAGCCCCCGCAGGAAAAGGTCTCTAGGTTTTCACTGTGACCTGCAACCCAGTGGGTAGGCCTGTCTGTTTCTGGGTCTCAGTATTAGGAATTGCTTATCACCACTCACCAAAGCCACACCTGCATCAATATAATGGACATTTAATCTTCATAAGCTTGACTCAGTCATTGCTCTTAGAACTTGGGCTGGGAAAAGAGAGATGGATACTTAATTTTTGACTTTGAGACAGGGCCTCGCTCCACTCTGTCACCCAGGCTGGAGTGTAGTGGTGTGATCATGGCTGTCTGCAGCCTTGACTTCCCAGGCTCAAGTGATCCTGCCACTTCAGCCTCCCAAGTAGCTAGGACTGTAGGTGCACACCCCCATGCTTGGCTAATTTTGTTTATTTTTCGTAGAGACGAGGTCTCTTCATGTTGCCTAGGCCGGTCTCAAACTTCTGTGCTGAAGTGATCCTCCCACCTTGGGTTCCCAAAGTACTGGGATTATAGGTGTGAGCCACTGCACCTGGCTGGAGGGGTTGGGTGCTTTAATCAGCTGCTCTTTCCTTCATCAGTTGCTTTATGGAAACTGAGATGTGTTTGGCTGTGGGAGCCAGACAAATGGAAGGTGCATTTCTAGCTCTCCAACAGCTCCTTCTAGTCTGCAGCAGGCATGTTACCAGGCTGCATGGTGTGTGCTCTGTAAGTGAAGGGCACAGGGTATTATGGGAGCATCTTGGAGGAGTACCTAGTCCAGGTCAGCCTTGGGACTGAGACCTTTTTGAGGTGTTAGGAGATGTGAGAGAACTTCTTTATTCGTGTGCTTATATTTGGTATTTTTAGAAGTTTAAAGAAATGGCAGAGGAAGAAATGATCACACAGAAGGTGTTTGAGGGCAACTGCAGTAGTTGACTGGAGTGCCGGGACCACACAGCTGCTGAGTGGCAAAGCCACAACGCAGACACTGGGACCAGGGCTGTGGGGGTTGGAAAGAAAGTAGAAGTCATAGATCTGTCCTCAAAAGGTGTCATCTTAGAGAGAAAAAGGCATAATGCATTCTCAAAGGCTGAGAATGTTGAGTCACTTTGTTTTCTTGGGAAGGACTCATTAAAGGGGGTTGAGGGGTATTGAGCAGCCGTGAAATGAGAAGGCTGCATAAAAGACAGTGCCGGCTGAGTTCTGCTTTTTGAAAATGGCTAAAATGGCTCATTCTCTGACACCTGAGGTAGTTTCTTTTTCCCCTGGCTCCAGCCTAAGTTCAGAAGCTTGAGGCCTTAAGGTTCTTTATATTGTTCAAAGATAGATGAGCAGGTTCGTATTAAAAACAAAACAACACTATGATGCTTTAAAAAATCACAGTTTAAAAAACTCTGCTTGTGTGCATCAAAATCAACTGTGGAGTTAAAAGCAAAAAGTAAAATTAAAATCCCAGATGCTCAGACTGAGAATTGTGGAAACTGGGGACTAGGTAGTTTCTCTTAGAAAGGTGCAAGGTGACTGATGTAAAGCCAGGGTTGAAGACCACTGAGTGACAGGGTTATGTTTTGTTCAGGCAGCTTTTTAAATTTTCTCATATCCTTTACCAGCATGTGCTCTTCAGCCTTTTATCATCACCCCTAAGAAGTCTTTTTAGACATGTTTTTCCTAATCGTTCCTGTGGAATGTGGAATTTTAATACCACAGATAAACTATATATTTGCTTACATACTGCATGCATATCTGTGGTTTATACATACAATTAGAGCCAGGTTTTTTTCTTTGCTTTGGAGAATAATGATTGTAGAGTATGGATGAGTGGAGTAACAGTGATTGTGATTGAGGGTTAGCTGTGAGAAGCACTTTGCTGACCACCTGATTTAATTCTCACAGCTATTCTGAGTTAAGCACTGTCAGTACTTCTGAAACACATGGGAATCAGGAAATTGCCTAGTCACAAAACTAGTCTTGCTCAAGCTGAGATTCAAGTCCATACAGCAAAGGCTGCGCTCTTAACCCCTTCACTATACTGCCTCCCATAACTCCGAATCTTAGAATGCATCATCATCAAAAGCCTTCATGGAATCCAGAACCTTGCCATTATTGGCGGTTCGCTTTGTGCCTTTGTAACTTAACTGTTGTAGCCATCTGTTCTCTCTCTCTCTTTAACATGGACCATCAGGCTTTTCCCCATAGAGAAGCAGATGCTGGGTGGGGTATTGGGTTGAGTTGGGAGAAAGGGAAAGGGTCTCAGTCCAGCTGGGGTGGAAGGAAGGGGTTGTCTAGGTTGCCTCACACTGGCTAAGATCATAGGTGGAATTGGAACGGGGTAAAAAGGCATTACCATTAAGGATGAGATGGTGGGTAGCAGATTTTCTAAATGGGAAGATTTCGTTTAGAAATCTTTTATGAGAGAAAATTGGAATTATTGATCTTCCAAGAAAGTCCACTTAACTTAGAGAAATTAAGTTTCCCACTGATAAACTTCTGTAATACTGTCACACTCAAAACTTCAGAAACAGCCAGAAAGCCACTATCTTCTTTGTATTTTTAGTTTTAGCTTTAGTTTTTTGAGATGGAGTTTTGCTCTTGTTTCCCAGGCTAGATTGCAATGGTGTGATCTTGGCTCTCTGCAACCTCTGCCTCCTGGGTTCAAGCAATTATCCTGCCTCAGCCTCTGGAGTAGCTGGGATTACAGCCATGCGCCACCACACCTGGTTAATTTTGTATTTTTAGAAGAGATGGGGTTTCTCCATGTTGGTCAGGCTGGTCTCAAACTCCCGACCTCAGGTGATCCACCTGCCTTGGCCTTTCAGAGTGCTGGGATTACAGGTATGAGCCACCGTGCTTGGCCTCTTCCTTGTATTTTTAAAGAAAATGCATTGCTGTGACCAGGCTTTTCCCTTGGTTGGTTGGTTGATAAGAGTGTATATAAATGCATGTATTTCAAGTCTTACTTTTCATCCTTTCCTGAGTCGTGTATCTCTTTTTCTCACCCCTGTCTCCTATGGATTGAGACTTTCTGAACGCCTGGGTCCCTTTGCACCACTTGATATTCTTCTTAGAAATAGATTTTTCAGCTGGGCGCAATCGCTCACGCCTGTAGTCCCAGCACTTTGGCAGGCCAAGGCGGGCTTATCACCTGATGTCGGGAGTTCGAGACCAGCCTAACCAACATGGAGAAACCCTTTCTCTACTAAAAATACAAAAGTAGCTGGGCATGGTGGTGGGTGCCTGTAATCCCAGCTACTAGGGAGGCTGAGGCAGGAGAATTGCTTGAACCCGGGAGGCAGAGGTTGCAGTGAGCTGAGATCATGCCATTGTACTCCAGCCTGGGCAACAAGAGCAAAACTTCATCTCAAACAAACAAACAAAAAAGATTTTTCAGCTGTTAATAAAAACATTTAAGACATCCGATGATGCATTAAGTGCTGTCAGCCCTCTTATTGTTTTTATCTCCACAGCTGGTTTCTCTGTGGCAGTGCCCTGTTGCTTGTTAGCTTATCAATTGCGTTTTACTGCATAGTCTACCTGGAGTGGTATTGTGGAATTGGAGAATATGATGTCAAGTATCCAGCCCTCATTCCCATTACCACTGCCGCCTTTATTGCAGCAGGAATTTGGTAAGTTAACTTTGAAATGACTAATAGGAATGAAAAACAATTTTTTTTTTCATCAGATAGTGATACACTTGGTCTAAACTTTGAAAGAAAAAAGGTACAACAGAAAAATAGTCTCCTGGTCATTCCTTCTCTCTGGTGCCTTTTCATTAGTATCTCTTTCTCCTTCTGTTTATGGACCTAGCTATTTAAAGCACAAATGGTGACATTCTCTACATAGTCTACATTTTGCTTTTTAAATCTTTTTTATTATAACATACAATACATGTAGACAAGTGGAAAAAACTAAAATGAATTAGTGGATGAATTTGGTAATTCTCATGAAGTGAGCATTGGTGTAAATGGAGCCAGCACACTGTGCACCCCCTTCATTCTCCCTCCCAGTTCCTACACCTTCCATCCTGCCACAGGTAAGCAAATACTGCCTTGACCTTCATGGTAACTCTTGCTTTGCTTCCATGAGATATTCTATTTTTGCTTCATCTATGTTTTTGAACTTTATAGAAATGGATTCATACAGGTTGTGTTCCTTCACACGTAGCTGCCTATGTGCAGCATTATGTGCAATTCTTTCATATTGTTGCCTGTTACTCATCTTCATTGCTGTTTAGTATTCCATGTATAATTGAATCCCAGTTTCTTTTTTCCATTGTTTTGTTTTGTTTTGTTTCAGATGGAGTCTCACTGTGTTGCCAGGCTGGAATGCAATGGTGCAGTCTCGGCTCACTGCAACATCTGACTCCCTGGTTCAAGTGATTCTCCTGCCTCAGCCTCCCAAAGTAGCTGGGATTACAGGCACACGCCCCCACACCCAGCTAATTTTTGTCTTTTTAGTAGAGATGGGGTTTCACCGTGTTGACCAGGATGGTCTCGATCTCCTGGCCTCGTGATCTGCCCGCCTCGGCCTCCCAAAGTGCTGGGATTACAGGCGTGAGCCACCGTGCCTGGCCCTCTTTTCCATTGTTGATTGTGTTTAGATTTTTTCCAATTTGGGGTTACTGTGAAGGATGCTATGAAGAACATTCTTATCCATGGCTCTTGTAGCACAGTGCACACATTTCTGTTGGGTGTAGAGGGGTGTGTGTGTGTGTGTGTGTGTACCCCAAGGGGTAAAATTGTTGGGTCATAGGGTATGCATACCTTTGACTTCAGTAAATCATGCCAAACTGCTTTGCAAAGTGGTGGCTCATCATTTTTTTCCTTTTATTTTTCAATGGATCCTTATAGTTTGGATTCTTCCATATGGTACATATAGATGTGTCTCATTCTTTTAACAGTTGTGTAGTTTTCACAACATGGACGTATCACGATTTATTTAACCTGTTTTCTGTAGTTGGACTTAGTTATATTTGTACTCAATGCCACAAGGACTATCCTTCTTCATAAGTTAATTAAGTACTCAATGAAAAATACAGGGTTTTTTGGGTTTATAAAAGTAATACTTGTTCACTGAGAAAAACAATCTGTAAATTACAGAAAAACACAAAGGAAGTACATCCTGTGATTCAACCAGAGAGAAAACTGCTTTTCTCATGTAGCTCTTAGTTTTTTTCCTCTTTATATCAATTGGAGTTGTTTTTTTTTTGAGACAGGTTCTCACTCTGTCACCCAGGCTAGAGTGCAATGGCACAATCACAGCTCACTGCAGCCTCGACTTCGCAGGCTTAAGTGATCCTCCCACTTCACTCAGCCTCCCGAGTAGTTGGGACCACAGGGGCGTGCCACCGTGCCCAGCTAATTTTTTGTATTTATTTTTTTTTAGTAGAAATGGGGTTTCACCGAATTAGCCAGGATGGTCCCCATCTCCTGACCTCATGATCCACCTGCCTCAGCCTGCCAAAGTGCTGGGATCACAGGCCTGAGCCACCGCATCCGGCCCTTTCATTCTGTTTTTAAGAGAAAATACTTTGGTCTTTTATGATAGTTTGGTGTGTGATGTCATGAAAACGGGTTGTAGCCATTTAAATTCTTGTTCAGGTGCAGGAACGAAGAGACTTAAGTTTTTATGAAGCCATGTCAACTCCTGTTAGGAGACCTTCAGTGGTTCCAGTTCAGGGCCTTCTTGAAGAAATTGCGATTATATATCTGGAGTTTTCCTTTCCAACACTGGCTAAGTCACATAGCTGAGAAATACAGATACATATAGAAAGTTCCTGACTGGATGAACTGTTCCACTTTGAATTCTTTAAATCTAGATTCTAGAATGAAATATATTGATGTATATTAGAGTTGTCAACTGTTTTTGTTCTTTTCAGCTTCAACATTGCTTTATGGCACGTGTGGTCATTTTTCACTCCGTTGTTGTTGTTTACCCAGTTTATGGGGGTTGTAATGTTTATCTCACTCCTTGGATGATTTCTGAAGGTAAGATATCTGGAATGTTTTTTCTGATAATGAACTTGTTTGAAACATGTCTTTTATGACAATTTTCAGTGGATGGCGCTGTAACAGACTATTTGTAAATCATTTTCAGTCATGTTGACACCAGAGTTGTCCATTCTAGAATTGTCCATCTGTTGAACTCTGAGATAGAAGGAACTGAGACTCCTTTTTTTATTTTTTTTTTTTTGAGACTGGGTCTCACTCTGTTTTCCAGGTTGGAGTACAGTGGCGTGATCACAGCTCACTGCAGCCTTGACCACCTGGGGGCTCAAGCGATCCTCCCATCTCAGCTTCCTAAGTAGCTGGTATTACAAACATGTGCTACCATGCTTGGCTGACTAAAAGATTTTTTTTGTGGAAACAGTCTCCCCATGTTGCCCAGGCTGGAGGGGGTGGGGGCTGAGACTCTTTTGTAAAAGTTGATTCTAAGTGACCACTTTTTAGAGAAAGTACCCTGCCTTTCAAAGACCTCATAAAGACAGGATTGTACGTTTCAATATAGTTAAATTCATACATTAGACCATTTTATATTGAAATTATATTAATTTCTGTCAACTTAAATGACAGTTGACTAGATCATTCTGAAGAAATGGGAATACAGGAAGAATGGACAGTTTTACCCAATTGGGAAAAAAATTGTGCCATCTTCTAACTGTCCTGGATTCCTCGTAAAAATGTGTTGGATTTCACAATCAGCTTTTGTTTGATGTTATTTATAGAATTTCTGCCTCCCCACACATCACCCCATGCTGAGATATGCTGCCTTACACAGTGGAGGCTGTTTTCTGAGTGTCAGAAAATTCTGTTATTAAATAAGTGTATATTGAGAACACTCACTCCAGATGCTTAGGGGCATGGTGAAAAGGACAAAGGTAGTGCCTCCTGTCAGGTCACTTACATCAGAACTTTCAGGAAATCTGCTTTATACAGCAGTTTACAGATGTGGAAACTGAGGCCCATGGAAATTAAAGTTAATGCACTAAATTTTCAAGGAGCTTATGAAAACTGCCATTTCTGCTAACAAACAGTGTGTTCTCCCTGTGGGATGTTAAAGAAAAGTCAGTCGTAATCAAGTGAAGAAGAAATGGATGTAGTCTCACTGTTAGCAGTCTGAAAAGAGTTGCTAGCACATCCTTGCCCATGCCAGTGTCTCCAGTCTCCTTCATGCGTCTTGCTGTGTCTCGGGATCCCTGGGAGCCCTCACGGGAGGCCCTTCTTTCCTGTACATATGTGGTGCCACCAGCCCCTCTGGGCCCGGAGGAATCCTGCACATCTCAGAACACTTCCTCACCTGACCCCATCACCCACCTCTCCCCTTCTCATGTTGTGAAGTCTTCTTTGACTCTTCAGGTTTGAGATTTTATAGATGTTCAGGAGCTCTTACTCTGACATGAATTTATAATTGGTAATGGAGATACAGAGTTCGCTCAGCAGAGTGAACTCTGCTTTTTAGTGTTAAATGCAATAGCTTAAGATATAATGTTTTATTTGGTACATGAATGCTGGTTTTCTTTCAGATTTAAGGACATATACTTTTTTTTTTTTTTTTTTAAAGAGACAGGGTCTTCTATGTTGCCCAGGCTGGCCTTGAACTCCTAGGATCAAGTGATCCTCCTGCCTCAGCCTTCGAAGTAGTTGGGACTACAGGCCCATGCCACTGTGCTTGACTGTACATGTAAATTTGAAGTGAAGGGTTAAACATCCAGCTAGCTGAAAGCATGGCAGACCCTAACAGAAAAGCTACACTGTGTTTTTGCAACTATGAAGTGGTTTCCTGGGAAAAATTGTGACTTTGTATAACTGTTATTGAAACCAGAATAAATTATATTTCACTTGCATATTCTTAAATTATTAAAAATTTCAGAAGTCAATGATATAGAAATACTATTTTGCAGTGTTAATCTGGTCGAATCTTTGGAGGAAGTGGTTTCATTATAGGTGCATAATGCACTCAATATTTTAAATAAATTGTTCACTCTTCCATTTGAGGGATTTAGACAAGGATGTCTGAAATGGCTGAATGCGTGTAAGGAATTAATGTTGTCATGTGCCTTTAACCAGCCTCAGTGATTGCTATAGTCTCGTGTTTATGAGAGTTTTGTTAGGTGACAGGACCAAATGAAAGCATTTTATGTTTTTTCATCACTTTAGATTTCATCATTGTGTAAATTATTGAGTTTTTAGAATTTCCTAATGTGAAGTTTTAATCATTTTAAGTATATATTTTTTTCTGTGCCATTTAAATAAAATATTTTTATAACTTTCTTGTGAGTTTTGTTCATGCAAAGTTTGGAATAACTTCTGCTTTTTAACTGTTAGCACTTTGAATTAACTGTAGAAATAAAGGCTAACTCTGGTCTTCAAAAACCTTATAAAGATAGTATCTGCATTTTCAAATGCAGATATGTCTGCATTAAATCTAAACAGCATAAGCATTGTGACAGCACATACCTGATGTTGGTTGATTTCTCTGTGAAGTGACTTTCAGTAATGACCTGATTGAATTACCGCTTGTGTCTGGTTCAGATCATACCCTGCCATTTACTAGCTGCTAGGTCTTCAGCAGTACAGGTTTATTCTTAAATTATTAAACTTTTCAGAAGTCAGTGATACAGAAATACTATTTTGCAAGTATCCCTAATCTCAAAATCCAAAATTCAAAATGCTCCAAAATCTGAAACTTTTTGATTGCTGACATGACGCTGAAAGGAGATACTCATTGGAGCATTTGGGTTTTGGGCTTTGGAGTATAATGCAAATATTCCAAAATCCAAAGCACTTCTGGTCCCAAGCACTTCAGAGAAGAGGTGGTCAACCTGTAATCTTTTTTCAACTGCGAAGTGAGAATAAAAAAGAGACTTTGAAGCAGAGTCTCGCTCTGTCACCCAGGCACGATCTCGGCTCACTGCAGTCTCCGCCTCCCAGGTTCAGTGATTCTCCTGCCTTAGCTTTCCTGAGTAGCTAGGATTACAAGTGCGCCAGTATGCGGGGCTAATTATTTGTATTTTTAGTAGAGATGAGTTTTGCCATGTTGTCCACACTGGTCTGGAACTCCTGGCCTCCCAAAATTCTGTTATAACATGAGTCACTGCACCTGGCCAAAAGGAGACATTTTAATAAATACATTTAAACAAGAGTATGGTTGGTTCCTGTTAAATAATTCTTATGCAAGTTATGTTTTTTTTTTTTTTTTTTAATTTAAGAAATGGGGTCTTGCTGTCACTCAGGCTGGAGTACAGTGGCGCCATCATAGCTCACTGTATACTCACACTCCTGGGCACAAGCAGTCCTCCCACCTCAGCCTCCTGAGTAGCTGGGGTTACAAGCATGAGCCACCATACTCAGCTAAGGTCCTTTCCTTTTATTATAACTATTATGTAAATAAAAATGGTGTCAAGCAATCTTATTATTGCTTCTAAACTGACGGGGAGCACCTAATTGTAAGAGTAATGAAGAGCTATATTAAGAGTTATAATGAAAGTTGGAGGTAAAGTGTGTACCCTGGCTTTGACAATCAGTGTCAAGATCATGTTTTCAACCCGTATTGCACACCCAGGGCTTAGAAGTTCTGATTGAATTTGTAGGCAAAACTGTATTGTTTGGAGAGTTCCTCAAGTGGTTATAATGTGCATCCTGGATCAAGAACTATCCTACTACCCTAGTTTGGGTAGAGACATCTCGGAAGAAGCTAGGATTGGCAAGAAAGATGGAGATAACTGAAAAAAAAAAAAAGATAACTGAATCTTGACTCACTAGGGTAAAACCCAGATTGGAATTTCCTCTAAATCTGTGTCTGGGACCTGGTTTGGGAGAGGACCTGAAACAGAACTTAAAGTTCCTGGCTGTTTTTGGTTTTATGCTACTAGAAAATGGTCTCTGACTATACTTCAGGAAAAAACGCATTGGACGGGAATCCAACAAGGACAGTAAGGACAGTTTTTGGAGGCGGGGCTCAGGGACTAGGTACCAGGAGTAACAGGACATGACTTCTCACTATCCTAAAGATGGAGCATAATGTCAAAGAATTTGGGGCCATGTTTTAAAATTGCTGCAAATTATATTCCTCCCACATGCAAAAGTAACTTACCCTCAAGATTCCTCCAAAAGTTTCATCCCATTACAGTATCGGGCTCAGGCTTGAGGTCCAGGATCTTATCAGATGAGGTTCTTCAGGTATTGAGTCCTTTTAATCTATTTTTTTTTTTTTGAGACAGGGCCGTTGTCACCCAGGCTGGAGTGCAGTGGTGCCATCTAAGCCCACTGCAGCCTCAACCTCCTGGATTTAAGCCATCCTCCCACCTCAGCCTCCCAAATAGCTGGGACTACAGACATGTGCCAACACACCCAGCTAATGTTTTGTATTTTTTGTAGAGACAGAATTTCACTATGTTGCCCAGGCTGATCTTGGACTCCTGAGCTCAAGCAGTCTGCCTGCCTCGGCCTCTCAAAGTGCTAGGATTACAGGTGTGAACCTCCACGCTCAGCCTCTAAACATTTTTAAAGTCAAGTTACCTGCCATCCACACTGATCATACAGTGGTGGGACAGAAAGGGAATTGCAGTCAACATTCCCATTCAGAAAGGGATGCTTCAGTCTACAGCAATTCTGAAATTCAACTGGGCACATGGCCCCCTATCTTAACTAAGGATCAGTACAGCTTCCTAGAAATGTGTCATAGCTTTTGGCTCTGGGTTCTGTGTCATCCTGTGAATCATCCTTTGTTTTTTGTTTTAAGTAAGAAAACTGAGTTTGAAGTGGAGTAGCCTTTCAGCCTGCTTCCTGCTCATAAAAGGTGTGAGGTCCAGAGGACTCTTCATTGTGTACTGTCTGTACCCCTTTAAGACTGAGCTGGTGGTGTCTCTACCAGAACAATTCACAAAGCCTAAGAGGTAGGAGATATTCTTGGTAGCTATTAAAGCAAAGCTTCCCCTCCTCAGCATGTGACCCCATATTCCTTCCTGCCCATCCAACCAATATCCTGGAGCAAATATTGATATCACTTTACTGGGGTAATCACTTTACTGGCTGGCCTGCCAAGTAAAAGGAGAAGGATTATGTGGCAAAGGTGCTCCGGATCTGCACTGCTGCGAATCAGGAGATCATGTCTGGGAGTAGATCCTGGCAGTGCTGGATTACAGGCTGAATACAAAGTTGGATAAGCGAAAGTTCGTCAAAACTTATGACATAGGATTCAACACCCTTGTAAGGGCTTCAAGAGATGACTCTAATCCACTGCTGTTACGGCTCTTGCATACTTGGAAAAAGTAATGGCCCATATTAAACAAATGGGATGTCAAGATTGCTGTGACAGCTTGTAGAGGAAGAGATTCAAGAGTTTCTGAGGGAGTAGACATGTTCAAATGGGTTTACTATATTAGGCTGGAAAACCTATCTACCAGGTTCTTCAGAAGAGCCTGAAAGATTCCATTTATCAAGGAAATAACAAATGAGTAAGGGCAAGCATCACAGAGCTGGTAACTAGTGTCTCTGTAGGGTGGAGCTGAGGTGTGAATGCGGTTGTAGAACTGGGCTCCCTTGTAGGAGCTGTAATGGTAGGGTCCCATAATAGTAGAGGCTGTGCCAGTTTCACTTTGACCAGGCAGCGCTAACAGTATGTCTTCACGGTCCCGCTTCAGGGCTGGTCAGCCTCTTTGTTACGCGCCATAATACAGATCTTGATTGTCCTGACGTTGCACACAGCATCATACTGGTCCACTACATTGGTGATGTTATATAATTGGATCTGATGAACAGGAAGTAGCAAGTCCTTTAGATGCCAATTTTTTGAGAAAAAAATTTATTTGCTACTGGGCCCTGGTGGAGACTGAACACCTAACTTAGGACAAGTGACCACAGAACCTGAGCTTTCCGTCATGAGCTGATCCACCAAACCGTGAAGTTAGGCCTGCACAGCAGCACTGTATCATCAAGTAGAAATGGGATAGATGACACTGAATCTGAGTAGGTTTGGAAACCATAAGTAAGTTGCACATGCAGGTGGTTCAGATTCCTTTGAGACCAACTCCTGCTGCGTTGCATTCTTTCCCCATCCACATCCACGGTCCTATGGGAGTTTCTCATGAATGAGGAGGAAGAGCTCAGGCTGAGCTGCAGGTGCTTCTGCATGCTGTGATGGCACCAACCTAAAGTAGACAGCTGCAGCAATGCAGTCTGTCCCCGTGGTGGTCCTGAGGGACAGTGGTGAAGGAAAAACCCTCCCAGTGAGCAGAATGTTGAGTTGTGCATTTGGTCATCCTCTGTGTCTGGATGAAGGGACATCCCGAATACAAATCTCCACTGTCTCATGGGTGGTGGCTTACAGGCCAGCAATTTGGCTGGATGGTTGGTAACTTGGAAAGAAAAGAATTGGAAGATTTGTGATAAGATTGGGAGAAGAGGGATGTGGATGAATATCTCAGAATGGTTACAGAGTGTGGAGATTTTAATCTCATGTGAATGGTCACCAATGGCCACATCCTATAGAGGAGGTGGGCAAAGTGGCTTGTTCTGTGGGTGTCTTGTCAGCCTCTTTTCCCAGACATGGAGTGCTTGCTCCATGGGCCATTGTACAAAGTACCTGGTGGCAGGAATGGAGACTGTGCGTGGATTCAGCAACATAGAAGTTCCCTAGGCAAGGCTCAGCTTGCTTAACACTAGCGCTGGGTGCAGAATCTGCTATGATGGTTTTGCAAGAGGGCCCTGAATTTTTGTGATGCCTCCCATTGAGAAGGGACTGTTTATGACTGCTTTCACTGACAGAGTATGCTAGAAGTGATGCTGCATGGCTTGGAAGGCTAGGTCACAAAGGCCATGCAGTTTCTGTTTAGCTCTCTTGGAATGCTTGTTCTCCCTAGAGTCCCTTCTGGGTTCCTCTCTTTCTCAAAGCCTGGAGACAAGACTGTAGAGGCTCAAGCCACATAAGGAGGCCATGTGTAGGTGCTCTGGTCCACAGTCCCAGCTGAGCTCAGCCTTTGTGTTTTCCTGTTCCCGGGCACCAGAATGTAAGTAAAGAAATTTCAGATGATTCCAGCCTCAGCCTTTAGTTGCCTCAACTGTTCAAATGTCTTAGTCCATTTTGGCTGCTGTAACAAAATACCACAGACTGGGTGGCTTATTGGCAACAGAAATGTATTTCTCAACATTCTTAAGGCTAGAAGTCCAAGATCCAGGTGCTGGCAGGTTCAATGTCTATCAGTATTAATTTCCTAATTTTGACAAATGTCCCGTGGTGCGTAAGATGCCACTGGGAAGTTAGGTGAATGAGGATGTTAACAGGAATGCTCTGTACTATCTTTACAAGTCTCCCATAAATCTAACATTATTTCAAAAGAAAAATGAGGGGTCTTTAAGAAGTTCACGAAAAATGTATATTATGAACTATGCATGGATTTCAAAATCTTTCTGTCCCAAGTAAAACTTGTACTAACGTGTTATAACATGTCTGAATAGGATCTACTTTGAGACGCTAAGAAAGATAAGACATTAGTTTGAAAAGAGACCACATCAGTGCAACATGAATTCTGCTAAAATGGAAGCAAGAACAAACATCAATTTACTGTGAAGCTTGGGTGAAAAAATGATGAAATCATTTATGCTTCATGAAAAGCATATGGGAACAATGCCCCAAAGAAATCAACAGCTTGCAAATGAATAACTTGTTTTGAAAAGGTGTGAGATGATGTTGAAGATGAAGCCCTAAGTGAGAGACCCTACACACGAATTTTAATTAATGTTGTTTAGTAATCAAAGAGGACTGATGATTAACAGCAGTTAATAATAGCAGAAGCAATAGCCGGTGTCATAGACGTCTCAGTTGGTTCAGGTTACACAATTCTGACTGAAAGCAAATTGTCCACTTAACCAAAGCTGTTGTTCCCAGATCAGCTGCAAACAACAGCAGAGCTTTCAATGGAAGTTTTAAACAAGTGGAATCAACATCCTGAAGCATTTGTTCAAAAAGCTGCAACAGGATATGAAACATGGATTTCCTAGTACTATCCTGAAGACCAAGCACAATCAGAGCAATGGCTACCAAGGGTGGAAGTGGGTCAGTCAAAGCAAAAGCAGACCAATCAAAAGCACAGGTCATGGCAACAGTATTTGGGGGCTCCAGGCACTTATCTTATTGACTTTTCTAGAGGGCAAAAGAATGGTAACATTTGCTTATTATGAGAGGTTTTTGAGAAAATCAGCCAAAGCTTTAGCAAAAAACTCTTGGGAAAGCTTCACCAGAGTTCTCCTCCACCATGACAATGCTCCTGCTTATTCCTCTCATTACACAAAGGCAATTTGGGGAGAGTTTTGATGGGAAATCATTATAGTCATGATTTGGCTCCTCCAAACTTATTTTTTTTCCCTAATCTTAAAAAGTCTGTAAAGGGTACCCTTTTTTCTTCAGTTAATAATGTGTAAAAGACTGTACTGGCATGGTTAAATTCTCAGGAACTTCAGTTCCTTAGGGATGGGCTAAATTGGCTTAATGGTTATATCATGACTTATGGAAGTGTCTTGAACTTGATGGAGCTTATATTGATAAATAAAGTTTATGTTTATATGTTTATTTTTAATTAATTTTTCCAAATTTTGAAGTCCAAGGGTACATGTGGAATGGCTAGATTGAGTTCATTAATATATGCATTACTTTGCATACTTATTTTTTTTGTGGTGAGATTTCTTAAAATCCACTCTCCTCACAATTTTTTAAATCTACAAATTGTTATTAACTATAGTTTTATTTTTTATTTATTTATTTATTTTTGAGACGGAGTTTCCCTCTTGTTACCCAGGTTGGAGTGCAATGGCGCGATCTAGGCTCACCACAACCTCCACCTCCTGGGATCAGGCAATACTCCTGCCTCAGCCTCCTGAGTAGCTGGGATTACAGGCACGCACCACCATGCCCAGCTAATTTCTTGTATTTTTAGTAGAGATGGGGTTTCACCATGTTGACCAGGATGGTCTCGATCTCTTGACCTCGTGATCCACCCGCCTCAGCCTCCCAAAGTGCTGGGATTACAGGCATGAGCCACCACGCCCGGCCTTAACTATAGTTACTATGCTGTATAATAGCTCTCTTGAACTTACTCTTAACTGAAATCTTGTGCCCTTTGACCAACATCTCCCAACCTGCCAATTCTCCCCAACCTGTCAATTCTCCCTGCTTCTCAGCCCCTGGTAGCCACTCATCTACTCCCTATCTATATGACCTCAGCTTTTTTAGATTATACATATATATGTATATATAAATGAGATCACGTGGCATTTGTCTTTCTGTGCTTGGCTTACGACACTTTACGTAGTTTCTTCCAGGTTCATATTCAATGCCCGCTGTTACAAATGTCAGGATTTCACCCCCTTCTTTTCTCTTTTTTGAGACAGGGTCTGGCTCTGTCACCCAGGCTGGAGTGCCGTGGCACAATCTTGGTTCACTGAAATCTCGACTTCCCAGGCTCAAATGATCTTCCTACCTCAGCCTCCCAAGTAGTTGGGACTACAGGTGCACACTAGTGGGTCTGGTTAATTTTTTGTATATATATTTTTTGTAGAGTTGAGGTTTTGCCATGTTGCCCAGCTGGTCTTGAACTCCTGGCACAAGCGATCCACCCGCCATGGCCTCTGAAAGTGTTGGCATTATAAGCATGAGCCACTGTGCCCGGCCATTTCCCTCTTTTTAAAGGTTAAATAGTATTCTGTTGTGTATGTATACAATGCGTATACATATGCACGTTTTCTTTGTCCATTCATCCACTGATGGATGCTTAGGTTAATTTCATATCTTGATTATCATTTGTGTGTTATGAATTGGATTTTCTCTCACCAGAAGATCTGTTGAAATCCTAACTTCTGGTTTGTCTGAATGTGGCTTTATTTGAAAATGGAATCTTTATAGATTTAATTAAGATGTAAGTTACAACGAAGTCATTGGAGTAGGGGTGGATCCTTAACCTATTATGACAGGTGTCTTTATAAGAAGAGGAAAAGAGACACAGACGCAGAAGAAAGATGGTCAAGTGACACCAGAGGCAAAATTGGAGTGATACAGCCACAAGCCAAGGAAGGCTAAGGGTTGCCAGCAGCCAGCAAAAACTGGAAGAGGCCAGTGGGGACCCCCCGCTGGAGGCTTCAGAGAGAACTTGGCCCTGTTGACATCTAAATTTTGGACTTCTGGCCTCCCGAACTGTGAGAGAATAAACTTTTGTTGTTTTTAAGCCACCCAGGTAGTGGCAGTTTGTTATACCCACTGTCTAACTCTTTTATTCTTAAAAATACTGGGATTACATAGCCACCACCAAAGGTAACTGGGGCAAAATGTTCTAAATGCCCCTTGGGACCTTCTATTATCCCCAGTAGCTGAGTGTGCCAATGGGCCTCTGGCCTTGTGAAATCCTGTCATCCTCCCTGGAAGAAGGGAGCCCAGGTCCAAGGGCAGCGTGTTTCCCCATCATCTGTGTGGTTCTGAACCATCACTGGGAGGCAGCTGACTGGTAGGGACATTTCCAGCTTTTACACTAATTGAGCCATGCCACACAGTTCTCAGGGCACAATGTGGGTCGCTGTAAAATGCGCTAAACATGGTGAAAACAGCAGGCCTGGGCACCACCAGAGCATCATTTCTGACCCCTTGTATCTGCCCACCGAGGAGCAGGGGTCAGTGATAAGAAATTGGCAGATGCGTGTGGCTCAGACTTTTGAAAAAAAAAAAAAAAAATCTAATTGGTGGAAGGCAGAACACACTGTGGGTAAATCTCTCAGTTAATTTAATTTTATTTATTTACTGAGATGGTCTTGCTTTGTCACCCAGGCTGGAGTGCAGTGGCACAATCTTGGCTCACTGCAACCTCCGCCTCCTGGGTTCAAGTGATTCTCTTGCATCAGCTTCCTGAGTAGCTGGGACTACAGGTGGACACCACCACACCCAGCTAATTTTTGTATTTTTAGCAGAGATGGGGTTTCACCATGTTGGCCAGACTAGTCTTGAACTCCTGACCTCAAGTGATCTGCCTCAACCTCCCAAAATGCTGGGATTACAGGTCTCAGTTAGTTTTAACATTGTCTTAAGATTACAATAAAGGGGGTTGATTTTAGCCCCCAGAAACTTTCATTTCATTGCTTCTTTAAAAAACTGCAGGCCGGGCGCGGTGGCTCAAGCCTGTAATCCCAGCACTTTGGGAGGCCGAGGCAGGTGGATCACGAGGTCAATAGATCGAGACCATCCTGGTCAACATGGTAAAACCCCGTCTCTACTAAAAAAATTACAAAAAATTAGCTGGGCACGGTGGTGCGTGCCTGTAATCCCAGCTACTCAGGAGGCTGAGGCAGGAGAATTGCCTGAACCCAGGGGGCGGAGTTTGCAGTGAGCCGAGATCGCACCATTGTACTCCAGCCTGGGTAACAAGAGCGAAACTCCGTCTCAAAAAAAAAAAAAAAAATGCAGGCTGGGCATGGTGGCTCACAGCTGTAATCCCAATACTTTGGGAGGCTGAGGTGGGAGGATCACCAGGTCAGGAGTTTGAGACCAGCCTAGCCAACATGGTGAAACCTCATCTCTACTGAAAATACAAAAACTAGCTGGGTGTGGTGGCAGGCACCTGTAATCCCAGCTACTCAGGAGGCTGAGGCAGGAGAATTGCCTGAACCCTGGAGGTGGAGGTTGCAGTGAGCCGAGATTGTGCCACTGCACTCCAGCATGAGCAACAGAGTGAGACTCTATCTCAAAAAAAAAAAAAAAAAAGAAATGCAGGTAGCCCAGAGACATGCTTTCCACCTGAATTTCAGACAGTGACTGAGTGTTATTTGCCTTTGTACTGAACGGGATAAGGTACTGGGAGCTGCTGTAACACTTAGGACTTGTGGTGGCTTAGCACAATGAAAGTTTATTTCTCATTCATGTAAGGTCCAGCTTTGGGAAGGGAGGCCACCTAACTAGTCACTGGGGAGATGGGCGGACAGGCTCTGCCATCTTCAGCTCAGGCTTCCAGGTTGCTCTGGCTGTTGGTGTCAGCATCTATTGGTAGGAAGGGGAGGGGAGAAGGTGGAGGGTCCCTAGTAGGTGTGCTGGATCCTCTCTCTGGACTGCCCTCCCTGACCCCTGCTCCCTTCTGCCTGGCCATCTACTCCTAAGACTAAAGAATGTGCAGAATGCCAGATGCAGTGGCTGGCACCTGTAGTCCCAGTGCTTTGGGAGGCTGAGGTGGGAGGATCACTTAAGCCCAGGGGTTTGGGATCCACCTGAGGAACATAGCGAGACCCCTGTCTTTACAAAACATAATTTAAAAAACCAAACCAAACCAAACAAAAAACGAGCCAGGTGTTTTAGTACAAAACTGCAGTCCCAGCTATTTGGGATGCAAAGATGGGGGAGCACTTGAGCCCCAGAGTTTGAGTTATAAACACACCACTTAATGCCAGCCTGGGCAACATAGGGAGACCCTGTCTCTATTAGAAAGAAAGGAAAATAGGAAGGAAAGAAGGAAGGAAGGATGGGAGGGAGGGAGGGAGGAAGGAAGGAAGGAAGGGAGGGAGGGAGGGAGGAAGGAAGGGAGGGAGGGAGGGAGGAAGGAAGGGAGGGAGGGAGGAAGGAAGGGAGGGAGGGAGGGAGGGAGGGAGGGAGGGAGGGAGGGAGGGAGGGAGGGAGGAAGGAAAGAAGGAAGGAAGGAGAAAAAAGGAAGAAAGAAAAGAAAGAAGGAAAGAAAAAGAAAGAGAAAGAAAGAAGAAAAGTGTGCAGGCGTTGCCTCCTCCCTGAACCCTTCAGCCTTCCTGCAGACCTGGGCTCCTCCCAGGCACCTCCTTGCAGCCCAGCTCAAGGATGCTGTGCTGCTTACTCTGCCCTCACCCCCAAGCTCCTTGAAGTTGAGGGCTAAGTCTCACAGGTCATGCTTCCCAGCTTCCCAGTGACGGCTCATTAGCTGTTTGTCTATTGCTGTGTCTCTACCTGACATCAGCTCTACCTGAGCAGAACATTTCATAGCTAAAACCCCAGAGCCTAGAACAGAGACCAGCAAATGATTCATAAGTCAACGCATAAATATGTGTTGATCAAATGAATGAATGAATGACTTGGAAGAATGTTGGAGGCAAGGCAAGGTCCCCAGGTTGACTCCCTGCCGGCCCAGGGCTCCCACCCCTCCTTTACTAGTTAGAACCCGCGATTGCAATTTGCTGAGCCCAGCGCAAAACAAAAACGTGGGCCCCTTGTTCAAAAATTAAGAATTTCAAGACAGCAAGAGCAGAGCCTTAAACCAAGAGGGAGAGAGTCTTCCGGGGCCAGCCCCGGGCAGCTGCGCGGGGGTGGGATGGGGGCTCGCCCCAGGCTCGCTCCCAATCCCCAGAATCGCGGTCCTGCGGCTGGGGTTCTGCGCCCCCAGTCCACCATGCCAGACCGTAGGACGATCTTCTGCAGAAACTTTCTAGACTTCCACTTAGCGGCACCGGAGCAGGGCTCCCGGGCGGACGTAATCCCCTTCCCGGAGCGGGCGTGTCCCAGGGGCTTTGGAAGGGGCTGGTGGAGACGCTTGGGTGCCGGTGGCCCCCGGCAGACCCCCGGGGCGTCTCCCACTCCACCTCCGCACCGCCCAGAACTGCTGCCGCTCCTTTGGAGGAGGGCGCTGGATGGTCTCTCTTCTTGGAAAGTGGCTTAGGTCTTCTTCCGCGTCTGGGCGTCTCGCAGCCGACACAGAGGCACACCAGACGGACGAACAGAAAAACCCACAAAAGGCGGCCCCTCCCCCGATTCAGAGAGCCAGTGACGGGTGCTCCTTCACCCCTAACCAGATACACCCAAAGACAGACAAAGAGTGACCCGAGCAGAGAAGACAGCACAGATACGCAGGGACGAGGACAGGCCGACTGACTCTTGGACACGGACCCAGGCAGGGTTATCTGGGCCTCTGGGTTCCCCGACGGAGACCCGCGGGGACCGCCCGGAGCAGGGAACGCCGCTGCAGAGCCCAGGGCGCCCCACTTGGCAGCAGCCACGCCCCCTGCTCACACCCCTTTGGTCTGGCTCCGGGAGACCCCTTCTCTTCTCTCTACCCCCGCAACCCCGGGAGGCACCTCTTGTCACCCAGCGTTTCCGGTGCTCCGGGACAGGGGCTGGGTCGGCGGGAGTCGGCGCAGGGGTGAGGGCTGCAGACGGCGGCGGGCGGGGGCCCGGAGCGCGAGTGTATGGGCAGGGCTGGCCTGTGTCTCAGGGATCAGGAGTGGGGAGCTGTCCGCGTGGGTCCCAGAGTAGGCAGGGGCTTGCCCCGGGCGTTGCCCAGTGAGGGGCAGTGGGCAAGGGAGAGCGTAGAATCCCGGGTCAGCGGGGTGGGGCGCCGGGTAGGTGGACAGGGTGGTACCTTGACCGAGGGTGAAGGGGCAGAAGAGGGGAGGGCGGGCCTCGGGAGGTGTCAGGAGAGGGGGCAGGTTGGCAGGGGCGTGGGGTGGGAATCGGAGGGGCGTTGAAAAGGAAAGGCGGGTGCTGGTTGGCAGAGGCGTCGGGGCAAGGACAGGAGCTGGGAGCGCAGGCGGGGCCCGGCGGCGGCCATCCCTGGGACCAGACTTGGCGCGGGTGTCTCGAAGATGCTCAAGGGCCTGGGGTCCCCCGCCTCGCCCCGGGCAGCTGCAAGCGCCTCGGTCGAGGGGTCGTCGGGGCCTGCGGCCTGCCCGCGGTCCTCGCCCTCGTCCCCGAGGTCCCCAGAGTCCCCAGCCCCTCGGCGGGGCGGTGTGCGCCACAGCGTCCCGCAGAAGCTGGCGGAGGCGCTGAGCAGCCAGTACGGGCTGAACGTGTTTGTGGCGGGGTTGCTGCTGCTGCTGGCCTGGGCCGTGCACGCCGCGGGCGTGGGCAAGAGCGACCTGCTGTGCTTCCTGACGGCGCTCATGCTGCTGCAGCTGCTGTGGATGCTGTGGTACGTGGGTCGCAGCTCCGCGCACCGCCGCCTCTTCCGACTCAAGGACACGCACGCGGGCGCCGGCTGGCTGCGCGGTGAGTCCAGGCGCCGGGCGAGCGGGTCTCGGCCTCCTGCTCTCGGGCTGCGCATCCTAAGGCGGCTGTGCGCCCTTCCCACCGCTGCCGCCTTCCCTTCAGCCTTTTCTGCCTTGGTCTCTGTGCGTCTTTCCTGGCTCTCCCCTGCCCTTCCCTTCTCTCCTCTTTTGAAGCCTGGGTAGCCACAGGAGCCTCCTCTCGGCCTCCAGGCGTTTCCACCATTACAGATATAGTTACACAGACCTCTCCAGTCTCCCCCTGGCTTACA